TCTGAGGTAGCGAGTGAATGTAAAAGATTTTTTATACAGTAACTTTTAAGTTTAGAATCAAATAAATTAGGCTTAAATTTTGTCATGCGGATTTTGTACAAGTATGTTTGACACTTTAAGTATCTCTTGTAACAGTTACGGTTTATCTCAATAGACAAGAAGTCTTCTGAAAATAAAAATAACGGAACAGACGGGACGGGACAAAAAATCCCGTCAATTTTTTTCACGAAACAAACGGGCTCGGGACAACACTATTTGCTCACGGGTTAGGGCTTACGGGACGAGACAAAAATGTTTATGTTCGGGCTCGAGCTTATGGGCACGCGGCAACAGAAAAGTTTGTCCCACAGGACCCTACTCAGAAGACCGGATCTTTCCTTTCTTCGATGACACGTTCTAGCAAATGGTTAAGATACATAGACAAAAAGTAACCAATTCAGAATCGATCTGTCTCCAATTTATTCTCAGTTTAGTTCGAAATGATATTCAGCGAGTGAGTGTGCACATATAAGAAATAAAAATTTTGTCTCGTGATGAGGACATAGAGTCACCGTAAGACAACTCAACTACAGTATTCCCCCAGAGGAGCGGCACGCCTGCTGTGGGCCCGCTGTCACAATTTCTGGCCCGATCAGACAATCTGATCTAATAAGGTAAGGAGTATCTTGCCACTTTCTGTCAGATTTCCACATTTTTTTCTCGCAACGCATCAGCGCAAAAATGTAAGCATTCATGTTGAAAGAGACTTTCCACTTGACAAACTGCGTAAAATGACGCTTACCCACAGTGCAAAGATGCTTAGTCCTTCAGAAGTAGCATCTTCCGAGATTTTATTACCGGAACGGGCAATATGCCTTGCCAGATGGGGTAAGTGACAACGAACTGCCTATAACATAAGAATCATGATGACTAGGAACTTCTCCTTTTGTGTGATTCTAACCCATTAAATGTAAGCCTGTTTGACTAGATGATTCGTAAGATATAAGCGATTAATTTCTAAAACGCTATATTGTGATTATATTTTTTCATGATGTTTCTCTTATATCACACGAACCATCTAGTCAAAGAGGCTTAAGCTTGCTGAGTTAGAATCATACAAAAGGAGAAGTGTTTAGCTATTATGATTCTTGCGGTATAGGGGTGCCGCTACTTTGACGAAGTAATTGTAAAAATATATACATGAGTTAATCAAAATCAACAAATAACGCTGATCTATAATCCCAACTGTCTGATGTTATGTTCATATATTATTCCTTAGTTTTAAAATAGAATTCAAGTATAATAATTCTTTTCAAATCAATTCACATATATTAAATTATATGATGAAAATTAAATAAGATTAATATCGCTGAAATCCAAATATGACAAAAGTGAAAAGTAAATCAAGGTTACTCTTTGTCTACAGTTAAGAGAAAGACGAGTTAATTTTATTTATTAAATATGTTTGTGTAGGCACATAACTCAAAGTCAAACAAAGTGCAATTATAATAATATAATTTGTTCAATACATCTTTCTCTTTTGTAATATATTAATTTTTTACCTACGCAAAAACCTACAAATAAAAACTTACTCTATATTCTATTAATAAAATGTACGTTTTATCTAGATGTTGATAATTTTACTTCACTTTAAAACCTGTTAGCATTATAAGAGCAAAAAAAAATTTTTTGTTTTCTCTTACAAGACAAAGCAACGCATAGACAAGAGTAACTTTGGTAACTTCTAAAAACAAAAACCTTTTATCTATTAAAGAAATACTAGATGTTGTTAAAAAAAATTGTTAACTGAGTGTAAATGAAAAAATAAATAAATTATAAAAATTTTCTCTTTTACATTTTACCACAATATAAACAACAAGACGACGTATCATATTATTAATATACTCGTACAATTCTGTCCGTTTGTCTGAACATTTCAATATCCTCGTTTTTTTCTATCTCAAGAAATAATTTGTAATTGTAAAATAAAACTCTAATACTACAAGCTGTATGTCAGAACTGAATCTACTCTTTGTCTACGAGAGTCACTATCGGTACGTTGAATTTTGATAATACTCTAAATTACTTATCAATTCTATTTTGAAAACAAAAAGAAAAAATATTGATCTGTATTTTTCTTACTTTATTCAATGACATCTCTAACTGCAAAATTATACACAATTTGTTAACAACAAAAAAGAGGACATAAAAGATGAGAAAAATCTTTTAGAAATATGTCCATTGACATCATTCATCTACGGCAACATATTTAAAAATGATTGAATCAGAAAGGGAATCTCAATAATGTTTTTATCTTACGTCATAGATTGATGCTTTTCTTTATATAAATTATTTTTCTTCTTTTTGTTTTTTATTTATTTCTATTTTTCATTTTTGCTTGAGGGCTTAATGATACATAGATATCTATACTGCATTTAAATACACATTTATTGATTTTTTAATAAGATTATTAAATATAAAAAGGAATGAATAGGAAAAAATGAATTTGGACTAATTGAAAAAAAATAGAAGAAGAAAATATATAAAATAAAAATCGATTCGGTCGAGCAACGCTCCTGTCTTTTCCACCCTCTCTCTATATACTATGATTAATACTATATCATCAAAGTATTGTCAACTTTTTATCAGGGATAAATACTTACATACATCTTGTTTTCTTTTCTACCTTTAATCTTAAGATTAGACTGGTGATTAAAGAAATTGATATTTTATTATCTCACCTTTTGACTTAAAAATAAATCAGACATCGAAACGAAATTTTTCTTTTGTTTTTTGTTGATAAAGTGGAAAAAACAACAAATAAAACTCAATATATTTGTATAAAATTTAATATTACTATGAACAATGACAATATGTACATACTTGAGGAACGAATAATTTTCCGTATAACGGCTTTGTTGTTATCATTACGTTATCACCTCAAACAACCTTCCTTCTAAAATAAAGAAAGAAATATAATAAAATAGATCCTAGTCTCATATTATTTGAACAACTTTTCTCAGAAGTATTGTCATAATAATATTCTCTATTATTAATTTAACTAAAAGATTAAAAAGACTTAAAATCTTTCAAATTATTTTTTTGCTTTTATACAATAAAATAAATTCATTTTATTAATACAGATAATAATTAGCTCCATTTTGTTTTGTAGCATATTTCTATCTCTTCTATTATAAAATATACTTTATTCTTACTTAAAAATGTAACAACACCAAGTGTTCTATTCCGACACACCCACATATTGGTTGAACATGTCAAAATAAAACTAGACCTATGAAAAGAAAAATTTCACCATATTAATCAAAAAGAAAAAAAGAGTAACAAAGTAAATGAATGGGAATTATATCATATGGAATTTGTAAGTACAGTACAATGTGACAATGAGAAAAAAAAAATAATAATGATACTATACAGTGACTTATTCAACACATATTGTCAATATTAAAGAACTACCTGACCTCAAGTGAAGGATCAAATTCCATCGTATGTTTTATAGTACATGAGACTAGAGGGGTCGTTTATCTAAATAATACTATAACGTACAATTATTCGTTTAATTAAATGTTTCGATTAAAAGTGAATAAATATAAACAGGAACAAAAAATTAAAAGGTATGATACCAAATTGATAAAAATATGGTTATTTAATTATCATTATCACCATTATTATAGCCATGTGGTCATTTTTGAAAGGATTGTTAGTTGTTTTTTTTCACTGCAAAATTTATTCATATCTAGAATGATATACAAAAAAAAAAAGAGTTTAATGCAAATGGGTAAAGAGAAAAACATTAAAATAATATACTGAATAGTTAATTCTAAAACATGATTAAATAAATATAGTTTCAGCCAAGTGTTGTTTGATTTATCATTTTTTACTCTGAAAAATTGAAATTCAAGGATTGTAACTATTCAAATTTCAAAAGAAACAAACACCAATCCGTAAGAAAAACCTAATAATATTCTCCTATTTTTCCATATTTTTTCTATTTTTGTTTTGTTCTTTATTATACTTTCTTGAACATGTAAGAAAGACTAGATGAGTCACAACAATATGAAACGCATTATGGCTAAAATTAAAGAAACATAAAAGAAATAATAATAGAATATATTCTTTGAATACAAACAACATAAAAATACAGCAGAATACAACACATATAAAAATTTTTTTAAGAAAGTATATTGCTTGTTTGTTTTGCTATAAAAAGAAAGATGAAGAACACAAATTTGAAAGAGTAATGATTAGCGCACAACACAGAAATGTCTCGTGAAACAAATAAAAAGAGAAATCGAGTTAACACAACACGTTGAATGCAAAATATTGGAATGATAAATTTGTTTTACAAAAAGGATGATTCGCTGTAATCTTTGGATAAATTAGAGATGATATATTCTTAGCTGATATCGCATAAACAAATTACAAATCTATGCCTTAACAAGTGACATCTGACGAGTTCGAAATAAACAAAAAAAATAAGTGGTGATATTTTAACGTGAGATTTTTTAAGCTTCCCTCACTGTTTATTTGTTTACTATAACATTAAACATATAAAAAGATTTGAACAATCTTTTTGAGCATTTTATTTTAACCGATCTACTTCCCTAACCATTTGAAAGAAAATATGCCATTTCCTGCGCTAAACGACTAGCCGTTTCTCTTCTCTAGAGTATTTTACACCATTTATCTTGGTCAAAAGGAGAAAATATAGTAACAAACAAAAAGAATTCGTACAATGGTAGCTGATAACATCAGGATGAACAAAAAAAAATATCGTAACTGGCAATAACAAAGTCTTTTCTTTCTAAAGGGCAATTATTTGTTATCATAAACTGGCTATCGCTATCAGTATAAGGTGCCGACAAGTCAGACTTGTCAGTTTCAAACAGCCCGATATCTTTCCAGTAGTGGACAATCAATCAATCAATCAATCACGTAAATCAACTTTGTTATTAAAAAGGTTGAAATGAAGAAGAACGATTCGTTGTAAAAAAACAACAACACTAAGTTGGCTCCACAGATTCTTTTTCCACCACAGTGTTCGTTTGTTGTATGGGCACCATTGTTTGTTTACATTGTTGTATATGTTCATGTACGGTAAGCATTTCTCTTAGTCCTTTATTTTCTAATAATAACGCGTTAATTCGTTCTTCTTGACCATGAATATTTATATCATCAATATCAATTGCTTTACGCATAATACACGCCATTTCTTGAATTTTAGACGATTTATCTTGAACTTGCTAAAACGAAAAAAGCTTACTTAGGAAAAATTTAATTAAATGTTACCCGTAGAAAAATGAAACGAGTAAAAAACTTAGATCAATTATCGAATCCAAGTTATTTCGAATAGGCAAACTTTACAGTTAATTTTTTTTACTCTCATCAATAGCAGGCAGTTTTTTTCCAGCATCTTTCTTGAACTAATATTCTCTATCATCGTCATTCTACAGTGGTTTCCCCAAAACTCTTGCAACTCTTCATATCTAACAAAATGAAAATTTCAATTTTTAAATATACAGCACAGGAACAGTGGATATATTATAACATCAAAAAACGTACTTGAGCTAATCCGGTATTATACAAATCAATTGAAACTGCCTCTTCTTTATCCATCACAATTAATTGCTGAACATGTTGTCGATATTTGAACATAATTTTTTCCAGCACACTTCGATGTTCGTTCACCAATTGTCTTAATTCTTCATTTTCTTTTTGCAGCTTTCTATAAACAAATGACAACAAATTTGCTGAATAATAGACGATTAAATATTGTAAAATTCTAATTACTTGATTAAACGATTTTCCTTCTGGATATTGTAAAGTATTGCTGCTTTTGGACGATGTGATCCAAGATCATTCAATTCAGCTATATCATCCCCATACTAAAGTGAAAAACATTATACATACTTTCAATCAAACTTAAAAAGACAAACATAACCTGTTTCATACTGATAATTTTTTCTTGAACGTATTGTGCTTGATTCACTGCTGTATCAGCTGTAGCATCATCTCGACGTAATCTGGACACTAATTCTCGTGCATTTGACAGTATCGTATCCAAAGAAATATTCATGACATCTGTTATCTTACTGGACAAAAAAAGGATTTTTTTTTATAAAAGTCGAAATAAAAACATCTTAAAGTAGACAGTGAAGATGTAGAGTAATTAAAAACATTTTTAAGTCTATTCTAAATTTAATTTAAAGTTAATTTTGAAAGTAAAAAAGCTATCGATAAGTGAATGGGTAATGTTAGTCGTTCATCTGAACAATTCTAATTCTATTCCATAAAAAATGAGTTCGATTAGAAAGGAAAGAATGTACCATTTAATACAAGCAGAAACTAGTCTTAACTCAATGCATGATGCGTGCTTTCACAAAAAAATACTTAAGTTTAGCTTAAGTTAGACGTTTAACTTAATTTAACTTTTTTTATCAAACATTTTGTGTAACATATGAACGCAAACTTTACAGCTGAAACTAAAGCAGCACACTGTTTGAAAGTCTCATCCGAGACATCATCTTTTTTCATCTCTTTGATTGTTTATTTAACATTCATTTTCTTTTGGTTTGACAGGAATTGTATGAGTTTGTTAATGTTCGAGTTGACATAACTAAATAAGTCGCTTTAGTTGTTAGTTTTTTAATTGGCTCTACTAAGATCTCAGTATTAATACATTACACCTGCAAATAGCCTAGGCTATATCCATCATATATTTGTTTCCGATTATAAGATTTCAAAGATTGCTTATCTATTACTTTCAAAACATTGTGGAGAACTATATACAATATTATCTTACAGCACTTAATTACAACAGTTCTCTTCATGGTAGAGGTATCTCTAAGAAACAGCTATGATCGAGCATACGATCATGAAAATAGTGTGCGAAAAGTCGACAGAATGAATGAAAGAAAAGAGGCTGAGGACTGCATCATAAAAAGTAAGCTAATGAGTTAACTTTGATCTTAATCTAAGCTTAAGGTATACGTAAGTCAGGTAAAAGTCATTTCAGAAACTTATTGACGCCGACGACCAAATTCAGATAAAACAGAACAAGTTATTATAGCTAATCGCTTTTGCATATCTCTCTGAAATGTTTGGATAAAATCTTACTCGCAGTTCGTGAAATATTAGTATAAGTTTAACGGATGCGCTTTAGCCGACACCTTCTTTTTTTTATGAGACGGTCTTCTGAACTTTGAGTATTTATCATGTTTCGTTCATAAATTTGATTCTATTTCGCACCAGTTATGTTTAGATCCGTTTATTTTATACTGCAGATATGAATGATTCCAAAGATGATAGACGGGTTTCAGTTCAATGTTCACTGCAATTATGGTCATTAAAATTTCCAGGTATTCATGAAAAAGATATCTCTGTTCATAGTTATCAGCAAAAACCCGTAGCTAAACCGAAATTATTAGATCATCGTGATCAACAACAAAAAAAACCAGCATATTATGATGAATATCATTCGTATTATGAATCTCGTTTCATGCCATTTCATATTTCAAATAAATTATTCCAAAATTTACGCGATAAATTAAATGAACTCGATCAGTTGATGACAACGTTAAAATGTATCAAAATTATATGGTTGTGTTATGATACGGTATGGTTAGCATTTTCAAATGGTACATACGTCTTTATTTTTATTGACAAAACAAGTAGAACACTGAAAAAAATAGTTATTGATAAAACAACGTTGAAAAAAAAGTTGAATATCACTGATTCGTCCACAACAATATGTGATATCTATTTGAATGGCAAAGGTATTTATGTATTATACGATAATTTGTCAAAATTTGATATTATGAAATTTTCGTCAGCAATAAAGAATTTTGAGAAATTCAGTCTATCAAATGAAAATGTCAAAATTTATACGCATGAAATACCGATGTAAGTGAATATTTCATATGTTTTTGATTACCATATGATTAGTAATTGTTAGCTCTTGAGTAAGACTTAGATTAATTAAACTCAATTTAAATACATTAAGCACAAAAAATGTTCTGTACAACCTCGCAATTCTCACACTTATTGTACTCTAAAAAACAAACACAAAACAAATATAACTAAAAAAAGTAAATGTTTCAGTAGATAGCGAGAATAATTTGTATGATATCAACAACAAATATTTTTATTAAAAATATAATGACAAATGTAGAAGCTTTCGATCAGATACTCTAATCATCATCAGCTATAGAGAATATATTAAGAGACACACAACTATATATATTTCTTGCTTTTTGTTTCTGTTCTTGAACATATGAACTAGTATGCTGCCAAATGTTTTGTTTGTTATTCTCGTACAAATTATCCTAGCATCCTTCATCCTAATACAACGATCTTTAAGTGACCCAATTTTACCAGTAAGGCAACTAGAACAATGACTTACGGGAGTAAAACGATATTCTGTATTCCTGCTTATACGAATGAGTATTTATTTTGTTTGTTTCTAGAATCGTGCTCGCTTTGTAGAATATAAAAATTTAAAGTTGAACAGTATTGTTTTTTTAACACCGGTAGTTCAAAGCTCTGGCAGCCTACTTTTTACATATAATTTAGCATATTTTCTTAATTGTTGTGTTTCATCTTTACCTTTTTTTTTATTCTAGTTATGCAATAAAACGTAAAATGATAATAAATGAAAAAGCTGATTTATTAACCGTGTGGTGGTCATCATTGTCAACACGAATCGATTTAGTTGATAATAATACTATTGGTCAAACAAAAGCAAACGTTTTGTGTTTATCAATGAATGATGATGGTACATATAAAGTAAATACACTTCAAACTGAAACATCAGCACCATACTATTGTTCGAGTACATCAACCGGTTTAACGACAATCGAATTATCTGAAACGATTACAACAAATAACTCACCAACATATGATTTTAGTATATATTATTATGAAAATTTTCGTTCTTTACCATTACGTTTAGTTCATGTTCAATTGCCATCGACTATCGTGCATGTTATACGTTCAACATCGTATACAGTTATGTACTTAAGTAATTGCCAATTAGTTTGTATTAACGAATTTAATCATGTTCAACGTTCTAAACAATGTTTACTAACGAGAAATGTTACCGGTCTCTGGTGGACTACTGAAAATTTGCTATTTATTGTATCAGATGAAAATGGTTCACTTCTATTCTATGATATAGCATTAAATCCCATATGGCCAATATTAACAACAAATAATATTTTAAATTTTCATTCACTAGGTATGGATAAAACCTGTTCATTAGTCAATGTACAACCATTATCATCGATAGTTAATTCCTCATCAACATCAAATACATCAAATATAACATTATTGTTTCTATTTTCAAATTCAACTGGTTTATTTGATTTACATTTACCAATATCCAATCTTCTATCATTAGTTAAATTCTATTTAAAATGTCAACAATATTCATATATTATCGATTTACTATGGTGTTTAGATTGGTCTCATCAAGATTATGAATGTAGAATAGCCATGTCAATAACAGTTAATGAGCTCTTAAAATACGAAGGGAATCATATTGAATATTATCTCGAACAAATATTTCGAACATTTTATTCACCATTGAGACCCATATCCGATGTGTCCATCATAAGAAATCGACAATTTGTTACACAACTAGCTAAACGATTTTTTTATTATTTATTACGTTTGAAAAGTTTTACAAAAGCCTATTTGTTGGCTAAAGATATTCATTTAAGAGCATTATTTATCGATTTATACTATGAATGTGATCGGACAAATGATTTAACAGTAATGAATGAATGTGTGAAAGAAATTCATGAATTAAAAAAAGTTGAACATGAAGCAGACGAGAATGAGGATGATTCTTCACCGTTAACAGCATCACTTAATGGAGACACAGATGGTGATCGAGAGTCGTTAAGTGCTGTTTCAGTTACATCAAGTGATGATGAGGACATACTAATCAAAGCAGCCACAGCAACATCCACACCATCAATCCATCGTCAAAATGAAGAAACATATGGAGATATCCGAGAAATTATAAATTCAGCTATCAATCATTATAAATTAGACGAAAATATGTGTAAATTATTAGCCGAAAGGGTTTACTCAATGTAAAACTATTTTTTCTTTTACGGAGAGTTGAATTGTTGACATAAATTTAGATAATCGTAAGTCGCAGCTAGAGAAATAAACAAACATTACGGTGCAAAATCAACAAATTGTTGCTATATCTATCAGCTATTTATGAATAACCACCTGTTTTGTACATATCTGTGTTGTATAAATACATCTCATTTTTTTTACTAACTATTTTTTATCGATAGTATAGTCTTTGTTTGAAATGGTTTCTAATAGAAAAGAATTGTTAATTGTTATTGACAAGTTTTGTTAAAAGATAATCTAAATTTTTACTTTTCGTTACTACTCAATGTTTGTGATTGTTAAAACTACCATTTTTTGTTTTTCATATAATTTACTTATGTATTGTTTAGTATACTACTCGTAAGTCCTTGTGGCTAACTATTTTAATGATCAATTTCTGTTTATTTATTTAAATAAATAGCAATTTTACCAGAAATTATAAATAGGCTTTTAAACTACCATACAGTTTCTTGTATTAACATTAAATACAAAATGACATAATATCTAAATTATTGTAGAAAACAAAAATTGCTTCTCTAATACATGACATGAAGATGTTGTAGGGCATTTTCTAATTGTTCTCTAAGATCTGACTATTTGACGATATTGACGAATATCTCTAACTGGTTTTGTGTATATAAAATCATAATTGTTTTCATAATAGATAATAATGACATGTTTTTGATAATATTCGTTTTCACAAAATCCCTCTAATAACAAGTTTGTTTTCATCTTTAATGTTTTGGTCTTAAGTGAAATGATCTTGTTTTATCGATTTGATCTTCGATTCTTTACAAACCATCACCGGTCGATGAAAGATGATGCATACTTGTCTTTTTCATATCGTTTATAATTGTTTTTCTTTAAGTGGTTATCCGCTATTTAACCATATTATTATTTGAATGTACACGGCTGATTACGCTTTACGACTCAGTGCAGTGTGTTTATCATAATCATGATCATCATTTTATCATTCAATTATATTTCCCATGAAAAACTATATATAATTTATTGTATACTTTGTTATATTGATTTTAATTGATTTTCACTTAGATATCAATATCTTTTCCTTTGAAGCGGTTGTTACTCGATCTAGACGGAATATTTATAATTACTGTACGATTGTTTTTGTCACTAAAAAAATATTTGATGAGTTTAATTTTCAAATTTAAAAGGCTAGTTGACATTTCACATATTTAATATAGAATTTTTCAGACACTATTCATTTAATAGTAAAAAAAATTGCACGCTTTTTACTCCACTTTTGCACAATAGTTTTTTTAGACTAAACTTTCAAAACTAAGGCATCTAGAACAATCCAGGTCAAAAAATCCTACTAAGATTCTACTGACTATAGGATTTCGTAGGATTCTTATTGTAAAATTATACAATGGAATCCTGTAGGATCTTGTATGGTTCTAAAGGATTTGACTACAGGATGCTGCAAATATCTTACACCTACAAGATCCTACTGTAAGATTTTGTAAGAATCTTTTTAGGATCCTACGGTAGGATTGTTTGATCTGGGAACATATGTCGTTTCTCTTCAATAACCTGTACGTAAATTTTCTAACTTTTACGTGTGAATCATTAATTATTCGCAAATGAAAAATTTATATGTCAGAAACATCAAGTCTTCGTCGGCTGACTTTTTTCCTAACTCGAATTTCGAGCCTCTGAACGCGTAATATGAAGTCGTTTACCTGTTGGTTTTTTTGATTTTGTTATTTATTTCTACACTCGTACGCGCTTACTATATGAAAATAATGAAAAATTGAAGAAATACAAAAACGTTTCGCTTACAGTGTTTTTTATCACACTTTCAGACTTTGAATAATTTTACAAAACACAAACAGAACAAAAATAAATAAACATAGCAGAAGGGAGCAGAAAAGAAAGTAAATAATATCTTGACTAGTACAGGTACAATTCTCTATAAATGAAATCTATTCGATAAGATAATGTCTTTGTTTCTTATCTTGTTTATCCTTTTTACACATTTTAATCTAAAAAGGTGGCATACTCTAGGTTTCTTTCTGCCATTTACGAAAAAATCCCACTAGAAAGTATCATTAAAAAATAAAGATTGACCTGTCGGATGCATAACTCTGAGCTAATCTTTTCTGTAAAAAGGGTTTCACATATAAACTAGATCATTTTCATTAATAAACTCGAAAAGATACTAGGTGGATACGAAATGGCATCTACAGGCAATACGAATCTCTACTCCATACTTACGATAGAAGAGTTCTTGTTGTGATTTTGGGTAACGGTCTAGGCAAAAAAAATTGGCACTAAAACGCGTTTTTATTCCGCTTTTAACGATCAAAAAACGCGTTAAATGTTTTATTTGAAACGAAGAAAAACGCGTTAAAACATTCTTTTGAACACCTTATAACGCGTTACTTTTACCTTAAAAACGTACAAAAAACGCGCTTTCAAAAGTTCTAGAACGCGGTTTCGATGAAACATTTAAGGCGTTTTTTGGTCGCTAAAAACGGAATAAAAATGCGTTTCGGGATTGAGTCTGCATCTTCTGAATTGTTCCAGAAACCAAAGTTGAGACTTGGTTACCCAGTGGGACTTGATCTAAAAATAGTTTAAAGTCTATAATAAAGGAAGTACAAAACTAATGATCTAAAACTGAAAAAGAACGAAAAGAAGATATTTCTTCGATATTTCGATTGTGCTTATATACTCGGCTGATCGCAAAACAAGACAGTGGATGATTCGATGCGCTTTTCAATCGTTAAAAACGGAATAAAAACGCGTGAGAATGGAAAATGAAACAAACGTTACGAAACGCGTTTTATTGCCGTTTCTAACGATTTTTTTGTGCCTGAGAGGGAAAAGAAACAAAAAAATCCATCTGAAGAGGAGGCGCAAAGTCAGAGAACATAGGTTAAGGTCTTTTTATTTCGTTTCGGTCATTGTCATTTTAATTTTGCTGATGATGTTTGAATATTTTTTGGGCATTTAACGAAAGCTTAGATCTGTTCAAGTAAAGCCTAAATATTTGGCAGTAGATACAAGCTGTAAACTTCATATAGATCTCGATCTCGAGTTTATTTACTTAAGAATGGAAAGGTTGCACAACTGTGTTTGATATATTTATCGATTGCTTCGACTCTTTTGAATAAACAAAAAGACGATTACACACTTTTGTACCTTCCCTACTTAAAAATCTATCGTTGGTGACAGACCACAGGACATTGGATGGACGATAGGTGGGCTTAATTTATTCGCGAAAAGATAAGTGGGACATGCTCCTACACTAGATCAGAGTAGAAAACAATAAAAAGATAAAAGCTTTTCGATCACCAATCCAACTTATAATTAATTTTAAAAAGTTCCAGACGTCAGAGAATCGGAAAAACTTAACAACTTTGATGTGCCGGACCATCCTGTACACTTTTTTTTAGTGTGTAAACTGCTAAAACAGGAACATTTGCTGCGACATTGTTTTTTAGCTCTTCATAGATCGACAGAACGCGTGTTAACTACAAACACGCGTTCGGTCGATTCTGTTTATCTGCTGTGTCATACCTCCGAAATTTTAGTTGTTTATGTTTGCTAAACGAAACACCACATTTTCATGATTGTACGTAAGTTTTGTTTTCGCGCGATCACAATTCATATTCCTATTTTTTTAGGCGTGAAGATTTATGAATTCGTAATTTCAAGTATTAAATCGTCGTAAAAACTGTAATTCACACGTGATCACACGTAGATATTCAAAAAAAAATCAGCTGTGATCGGTGTACTGCCACTTTTCCTGTCTTTCGAATATAGTCGCAACTGTTAAAAATGTTATGGATTTATTTTCGTTACGACTAAAACTTAATATACCGATTTTATTTAATTTAATCCTCATATGAAGCTGAACTTTGTTTTCATATGAAAGATTTTTTTTCAGAAATGAATCAGCATGAAAATGTTTTATGATATTCAATGTCTGATAATCTGAAGTACGATTTCGTGTAACAAAACCTTTGTCACATGCTAGGCGAAATTCGTAATTTTTTTCAAATATGGAATGACTTCAATTTTTTTCTCGCTTTTAATCAATCACACATAAAAATTAAAAGAAATTGATCATATGAATATTCGTCATACAGTAAAATCTACAGTAATTGTATCATTTTATGATAGGATTTTACTCGTCCTCATCATCCCTAACAGCTAAAGTAATCTATAGCATCTATGTCGACTGATAAACTAACTCCGTTATTGTGTTTTGTTCATAGCATTTTTTTTTAAAAATAAGGCATTGGTCAAAATGGTTAAAATGAAATTTGATATCTGTATGTATACTTGATTAAATCACAACTACGTTGACGACGATGATAATGATGTGTATTTGCAGATGATGCGTGCCAATGAGTTTGAATAATTACGTGTGTTTATTACACACATACACACAAATGATATCTCTATAAATTTCTGGGGTGTGGCTGTGCTCAAGTAAAGGTTGTCAATATCGTTTACACACATATCTGAATGGCATAAATTATACACGTATAATCATTTAGCTAAATGTTTGAAACGATCAAGCATCATTAAACTTGAAATAGAGAGTGTGTATTGGCAAATAAAATATTGAATGATCTAAACAAAAATAAAAAAAACGTAAATGTACATTTATAAGAGTAAAGAATTTAATTAATTTGACTTTTATTTTTCTCATTTTGACGATAAATTAACATTCTCAACTCGACCTCGTTGTGCTATTTTTTTTTATATCATTTAAATTTATATGAAATGGATGTATGTACGTACGCGAGTTTATGTTAGACAAATATTCAATTAAAAAATTGCGTTTCTCTCTCTTTATACAATAAGTTGAGAATGGATAGTTCATATAAAAGAACATGATTTTTCAACACCCCTAATCGCCTTCTTTTCAGCTATTTAACAGAAGACTATTTATTATTATAACCGTTTCTTTTCTCTTCTTTTATAGTTCTTTCTCTCTCTCTCTCTCTCTCTGTACATATATATATATATATATATATATATGTGCACTTAAACGAAGTGAGATCATCGAATTAATTCTAATTAATTATTGACTTTTCTGAAATTAAAAGTCTGACTTTTAATAGAATATACCTTCATAGAACTTTGCGACAATAGATTGATAATATTATTAGAACAAACACCTAAAAACCCTCTTTTTTAAGCATAAAAAATATTCTACACTGATGTACAGTATATCGAAATTTACATTTTCATCACACAAGAGAACAGGAGGTTTTCTTTTGACTGCTTCTAAGATAATATGTCTGTTTAAACGTACGGTATATTTTTCGATTTCTGTTCTTACCCAGTTACGAGAAATAGTCAAGATTTGAAATTTTTACCTAATTCGTTTCAAACAAAATAGTTTTTGATCTACATGATTACTTTGGTATACAAAATAGTTGGGATACGTAAAAGAGATGTTTTTCTAGCACCGGATAACATTCTCCTTTTATGCTCTATGAAAAACGTAAAATGTTACTTGAAGTCGAATGCTTACTCTTTTTTTTTGAAAAAATCTCTTTTGAAAAATCCTCACGTTTGAAAGATCAGATTCACAAGAGTTAATTCTAAAAAAGTAGGCTTATGAGATTTCATCAGGTTAGGTTACTACTGGAATACTTTTATCAAAGCAAGGACGGATATTAAAAAATTATAAGACTTACTAGTACTTAATCAGTTTCTTGAGTGTTTCTTTAAAAGTTTCGATTATTTATGAACAAAATTGATATATACAGTTGATATTTGACAAGAGATAGAAGTGAAGAAGTGAGGCGCCTTAAGGCATCTACATATACGTTTTTAATCAAGAACACATGTACAAATATATTCATCATTACATAAAAAAAAGTTTTTCACTGTGACAGATAGATTTGTTAATTGCTATCATTAATCGTAAAACATGAGCCATTAGATTAGGAGAAAAGATTAGATTATGATGAGATGCACAAAATGAAGGCAAAAAACATTTTAATGTTGAGTGATCATACCCATGATGCATCGTGTATTTAGCATAGTTGTTCCAATACATTTTTGTGAAACACTATCGAGAAGAGTTTGGAGCTTCATTTTGACTAGAGTATAATGAAGGATTCTAAGAAAAATTTTAGGAACATGTTAAGTTTCTTGGCGAAATGAAATTATATAGTGGATGATGAAATGCTGCTGCAGCAGCTGCTACAGCTAGTGGATGTTTCATAAAACGATACTTTTCAGCATCGGCTTCCGCTACACGTTTGGCTTTTGCACGACGATTTTGAAACCATATCTTTACTTGGGTTTCTGTCAGGTTCAATGATGCTGAAAATTCAGCTCGTTCAGCTATTGTTAAATATTGTTTTCCACAAAATTTTCGTTCTAAAGCTAGCAATTGTGACGTAGTAAATGGTGTCCGTGGTTTACGATTACTTTTGTGTTTACGTAATGTACAAGCTTTTGCATTTATTTTTGGCAATTCGTTATTTCCTAAAAAAAACAGAAGAAAAATCTTCCCATCATTCAATTAAACTAGTTCTAATATTATTTCAGATCCGAGACAAGTATATCTCAATCACTAGTCGTAAAAACTAGAGAGATGCTACATTGGACGAAAGTCTGATTTGAATGGTAAGTCGCTTAAGCTACGAAAATTTTTTTTGAATCCCAAGTAGACCGTCGCAGTTAAAATAACATTAAGATTGATCAGATGACTAACTTCCGTACTATTTAGATCAATGTTTTAATGTAATAATCTTACTATTCAAAGGTCATCCCGTCTATAAACTCAAACATATCATACTATTGTCCAATAATTTGTGACTAATAGATATTATAGGTCTGAAAACAACCACAACAAAAAAAAATGGTGCATTCCTTTCTTATTTACCTAAAGTCATCTGAAAAGTTAGAAGAAAGACAATTGCTATACTTACTCGCTTTATCAATAATTTCAGCATCTGGTAACCATGTCTGATTTGTATTCACTACAGGCCACGATACCCTTGGTTGTGGAGATGATTTGAATGTCGGCGAGTATTGTACACTTCCATTACTTGATTTTGAGGGACTACTTGACGCTGAATTTGTTGTGTCTTCAGCATTTGTATCATTTTCAACGATACTACCAATTAATCTTAAATTAAACATACACAAAAAAAAATTAATAATCAGTAATTATTAAAACTATATGCCTAATTTACCTTCGTACACTAAAATCTGTTTTGGGCTTTTTTAATGCTATTGACGTTGTTCTCATAAGAGTATCGTAATAACGATGCGTGTGGGGACATGATTGATCCTTATGCATTTTAAATAAACAGTAAGAAATACATTTGAATTAGCAACTAACAAAACAAAAAATAAGTGACACAAAAATAAAATAATCTTTAGAAGAAAATCAACTAATTTGTATATAAAGTATTATAAAGTTATCACTCCAATAGAATTTCTTTATAAATTAATAAAAATAATTTCATTGGATGCTCATTGAGGCACAACGTTGAAATGAGAGAAGAACAGAAAGAATATTTAAATAGAAAAAGTGAACGTTTTTGAACGTTTTGAGACGTGCATATCATAAAATATGTTTATAAGTAACCGATATGATGTTTTTCCGCTCGATCACAAAAAAAAAAACAATTTTTCTTTCTTCTATTTTATTTTCTATGTATTCTATACGTTTAGAGAAACGAAGGCAATAAAAAGTTATAAAAAAACATTTACCTGAGCAGTATGTGGATTAAAAAAACGTTTTTATTAAAAAAGACAGCTTCTTTTTCAATTGTCCCAAACGTCAGGTTGTAAGACGAAGAAATTTTTTTTCAGAATTTAAGAATTATTTGATAAAAAAGATATTCATTTTGCAAAGCTATGTAAATTATTTTCACATAAACAAAAATAAACGTTTTACTTTGTATTTTTTGTGTACAATTTTTTTCTTAGAAGAAAAGTAACGACTCAAATCTGGTGAATTTGAAGAAGATACAACAGAGTTTTGATTTCGTCTAAAAAATAAATAGAATTTTGATTTTTGATAGGAGAATACAGAAAATTATTTAGTGAGATATGTGAGTAACATTTTACAGCCAGAAATAGTCAATTGCAAATTAGGTTCGTTATTGTACTTCATAAAACGGACATATGATAATCCTTCTAGCGGAAATTGGTTCTTCAACAAACCTATTTAGAAAAACACTTATAGAGGTTTTCTTTTTTTATTGAAATTTTGATTGATTTTCTGTAGTATTTTGAATGATCGAACTAAAGCTTACTCTTTTATAATGCAAAAGAATAATCAGATATGTGCATTAATACGATATATGTCTTTAATAGTATCTTAAAAATCTATCTATGTGTGTATGTGTGTGCGTACATCCGTGACCCCTTTTTTTTTTTATTGATGAATTTGTCAATAGAATTAAAACCTATTTCATTTCATTAAGGAGAAAGAGAGAGCAAGGTTAATCACAAACGATTAACGTTGTATATTTTTTTTTTATTAATAACATGGTTTGATTATACTTAGATATAAATCGCGATGACCACGATGAAAAATAGATGGCATATCAAACACTCATTAATAACTATATATATATATATACTCATATATAAATCCTATTACTGAATCGAGTTATATACATTGATAAAATTATATACGAGATTTTTTGTCAGCGAACGAAAAGTAAAATGACAAATTCCATTTTGATTGTATAAAGATTTAGCCATCCACGCATACCATCGTTAGGTTACTAATAGAAGTTGAGAGGTGTACAATTAGAAAACATTTATCTTATTCTATTCTGACAAGCATAATAAAACGACAGAAGATACATATGCGTATTAAGGTGACTGGAAGAGAAAAACGATTTTTTTTTATTAGATATAAGGATAGATATTTGTCCGTGCATACGATATATAAATACGTATCTATATAATTAAGATTATGCAACAAAATTCTGTTGTCAAAATGATCACTTTGCTGATAATATAATGAAATAGTCAAATTACTCTTACGATAATTTATACAACGCCGAAAGCGTTGTATTTTATTCGACTATATCATCGAATAACAGCATTTTATAAACTTTTAATTTTACAGAAAGTTTATCAAAATGCAACAAAAAAAATAGAATTTAATTTCATTCTACTTCTAAGTAGAATAGTAGATAGACTTTGTGTTTAGTAACCGCACCTTCTAAAAAATGTTCGCTCTTGTAAGCCAACCATTAACAAGAAGACATTTTTTTTCAAAATTCAAGCAACAAAATTTTAGTTTTTACAAGAGATTTGTGCTTAGTAAAGGTGATTCAATTGAGTGAATTGTCGTCGCTCTTTATCAGGTCTTAACAAAACTTTTAGAATATCTTCACTGTTCTATTTATCGACCTTTTAAATAAGTATGCCAGAATTCTTAAAGATTGATATAAAGTATAACCATTCTTTGGGTGGACCATTTTTGGTCCGTTCTTGACACTTAGAGGTTAGAAGTTGCAAATTAATCAACGTACCAATTTTTCCAGACTAAAAAAGATAAAAATAACAACTAATTCTTCGTTGGAACAAAATATCATACTTTTAACAAATGTCAACTGTGGTTAATAAGAATGTTAATAATTTGTTTGTGATTTCCCATTTTGTACTGTTTTTATTATCGTGAAATTAAGCTATCATCAAAATGATTATCTCTCATCTCGATTATCTCTTCTCTCATTCAATATTTGATATAGAAGATATGATGAGATAAAAACATGCATGCGCGAACGCCATGTCTGTGTTTGTTTCATTTTTTCACCTCTATATTTTTCTGCTCTTATTTATCTACACTAGTATATGATATATTTTTCTATTTATTTAAAAAAACGTTGTAATTTGATAGAATGTAAAATATGATTGCGATTGATGCCTATTAATGGTATTGTGTATGAGTAAGTGTAAATGTTACGGAAGTAGTTTGTTTGAAGAAAATTGCCATAAGCTACCGCAATGATATTATGTTAACGCGTTATAAACATAGATATATGTACTCTTCTTCAATCGTGCAGAGCCGGATATCACAAGACTTTCATATCATTTAAAGAGCGGCAATATTGTAAAGTGTTTCTGGTACATCATGAAAGAGAAAAAATGATCGATTGAAAAATAGAAAAAAAAACAGATCATCGATTACGTGAGATATGTATCAATTAAGTTTATAATGCATTAACTATTAGCAGCAAATTGATTGAGAAATACCATACATCGTCAGTTATAGTCTAAAACACCTTAAAGTGCTTAGTTAAAAGAATAAATCTGCCTATTATATTACAGAAGAAAGAAAGAAAGATGATAGAATTTACCTTCATAGCATTAAATTTTCAGTTTAATCTCGAGTTTTTTTCAAGAAATTAGTTTTTATTAACTATGACAGGATGTACAAAAAAAGCGTGGAAAAAATATTTGGTAGAGATAAAAAATATCGATACGTTTGATATTAGAATTTAAAAAGTCTTTTGAACTGTTGTCTTTTATTTACTCTGAAAAAGAGAATCCTATGTGAATCACAACAGTTATTAATACGCACAGGAAGGTTCAAATAACGTTGGTGGCTAAATCTTTTCTCTTGTCTCATTGACAAAGTTTAGTTACTACAAAACTGGGTATCTTTTTTTTTAAAACTAAAGAAAATTCTAAGGCGAACTGAGAGAGAGAGAAGAGGGAGCAGTTTGAAACGCAACGAACGGGCGCTAATTTTCATCTCTCACTTTCTGTGATTGCGTACTTTCCCTCTGCCGTATTACTAATTTTTGTTTCTATCATTTAAAATAACATAAATCTAATCAAAATATTCACAACTGCGTCTAAATGATGTGTAACAAAATTTTCAACACATTTCATTCACATGTCATTAAAATGAAATGAATGTTATATATGTCGATCACTTTTTTTTTCTTTCTTTACTAAACAAGTATTTCAGCAATAATCAAGTGTCTCGTATATAAAGATATGATTTTATGATCAGAACTTGTGATGATATATTAACTTGATTATTTCGAATTTAACTCAATGACATGGAACATATTCGATATAACGGTTCAGCTGCGTGCGTCACATATAACACATTTTATTGTTTCTGTTCAATTAACTTCAATATTAACTAATATATTTAACTATAAAAGATCATCAGTGAGTTTTGAAAATAAGACTTGGAAATTTGTGTAATATACTTCTAAAGTGCTGAAGAAAGATGGAGGTTTTAGTCTTTGTTCATGGGTATGGGTGCAGTGGCTGGTGAATACTTTCATTTTCAAAAAGACAGGAAGATTATTATGGCTTATTCTGCTATTCACGAATTTTCTGTGACTCAAAAATTCATTTTCTTAGTCAGAAAGAGCCAATAATAGTTGTTGAATAATTACAAGAATGTGGTATTGTTGAAAAAAAGATGTTTCAAACATTCAAACAAGGCACTTATTCAACTCTCTTTAGAAAATGGTTCGTCGATTGGAAAATAAGCTTGTCTATCTTGATTTATATATATATAGCATTTAATTAACCTATAAACGTACTTCTAATAATCATTAATAAGTATAGCTTTTCGAGTCTTTAATATCTGCAGTTTAAATACAATAAAACTTAACATTCAAATCATCAATTTTACACTAAAGATTCATAGTTAAAAGCGAAACTTGTCATCTCACTTTTTCTTTTTTAGTGCATGCCAAATAAGCGTTACATTTGGTTTAGTTCGTTAATTTAATAAGTCATTACTTCATAAATCAAGCGTATCGTATTCTCTTTCGACATATTTTTATATGCGGAAGTCCAAAATATATTTGACATGTCTATTTGAAGAGAGAGAATTTCAACGTAATCTTCACCTCGACTCTCAAATAACTATGTGTATGTGTGAATTTTTAGTTCTAGTGTTTAATATTTTTCATATACATTGGTTCATTAATTCGATGACAACGACGATAAATATAATGAAACACTTTTTGTTTTATTATTTATTTTTTATGTTGCGCTTCATCAATAAACGTTCTTTATAATCTTTATGTAAATTTTTTGTTCTTTTTCATTCGAGAGATTTTTATTCACTTAAGAAATCATTAAAAAGAATTGACATTTAGTGCTTATTAAATATGTGTATGTGTATGTAAGTATGTGAGTGTATGTTATGACAACTTTATTCAACGCACATATCTCTTTTCTTTGCGTGACATACATTTTTAAATAGAGAAAATCTCCTGTATATCTCACGTGGAAATCATCATCATCTAACACAATTAATCTTTTGAAATAGAATGATACTGATAACACGAAAACTAATGTTCTTATCTTAATACTTTATTTTTAATAAATTATTATACATACACGACAATGAAATAGGATTTAAAGTAAGAGAAAGAAAGAGAGAAAGATAGTAGCAGATCATTTATCTTTTTATTTGAAATTCCATATACAGGGAATAATAAGTAGAGAGACAGAAGAATACCTATGATATTTGGATGATTACTCGTTAAAACAAAGATTTGCGTCTATATTCTGACAGAATTTGTCATATCTCTAGTTACCATAAGAATTATATCTAACTCATAAGACAAAAACAGTTATTATTATTATTTTGTGATTACATGTACGTCTATGTTCTCTACTATCTTCATCAAAAATTGTTTTGATTTAAACGACATTTGTTTTTACTAAAGATAGAGATATCTGCTATTCTTCTCACATTTATTAATCAATTAGATATAGCCCTCCTCTTCAAAATTTCTAGATACAAGTTATCAATTTAACCAGATTCTCTTGTTTGTATATAAATAATAATTATACAGACAATAAACAGCGCGACTCTGTTTTTTTCTTCTTTGTTTAGGTCTTAGTTTTGATATTTTACGCACATTTGTCTATTACTGTCTCTATTGGCTAATGTCAAAATATTTTTTAATGCGGAAAATCAGATTTAATAGAGTATTTAATAGAGATTTTTATCAATTCTCTGCAATTGTGTTTATGTTACACACTTTAAAGAGATAGAAGAAAAAAAACAAGATAGTAATTAGTAAATTTCATATTACCAATCAATGTTCGTCTAAATGTGAGATTCAAACGGTAATAAAAAGAAATGATGAACGATGTATGTCTGATACCAAGAGACCAAAAATTTTCTCGATAGTTTAAAGCTGAACAAATTGAAATTGATAGGTCATTATTCTCGACGAACTTTTTCTTCAATCCATTGAAAGATCTCTACTAGCTGTGATATCTACGAAAAACTGATGCTTTTTTAAGTAAGTAATCGTGGTTTGTTTAAAATCTTTCTTCGCATTGTCCGCTCAGCCATCACCCATACCTTATTCCACATCAACTAATTGTTACTAATATGATTTTAGAATTTTACTTATTGGATGGATGTTATACTTTATGATGGAATTATGAGGTTAAAAATTTGATTTTAATAAATAACTAATCTTAAAATTATATACATTTCGTTTTAAATGACGAAGACTAGTAAACAAAAATAGAGAAAAAACACACAATAAAAACAAAATGTATAACAACAATTTATCAAAAAGTATTTGATGATATAAAATCTTGAAAATGTGCTGCAGTTATTGAATTATTATGATAATGGTTGTGTGCTGCTAAATCATATTGTTGTGCTAAACGCCCTTCTATTTGAATAAAACGAAATTTTTCAATTTCAGCTTCGGCTAAACGTTTTTCTTTTGCACGACGATTTTGAAACCAAATTTTCACTTGTGTTTCGGTTAAACTTAAAGACGTTGAAAATTCAGCACGTTCAGTAATCGATAGATACTGTCTTTCACGAAATTTTTTTTCTAATGCTAACAGTTGTGACGTGGTGAATGGTGTCCGTGGTTTTCGATTACTTTTGTGTTTTCGTAATGGACAAACTTTTGAACTTAGTTTAGAAGCATTTTGATCTAGAAACAAACAAAAATATTATTAAAAACAGTTCTAGATTTTTAGACATTTTATGAGTATATTTTCTTTGAGTGATTGAAATCATTCTTTTCAATTATCTGATCTCAAATAAGATGATAGATACAAGTTAAAATTACTTAGTCTTTTTCTCAAAATTATTGCTCCTATAATAATCAAATTTGATGCATCAAGCCTATAAACCTTGTCAAAAAAAGTAAAAATATGACTCGGTATCAATGCGAAATTGTCTTGTAGTCTCCTCTTACCTGACATTGTCCATAACGTCGAATGATTCCACGTTGCATTAATTGAATTATCAAAATTATGTACAGATGATGTTGATGAACTTTTGACGCTCGATGGGGGTGATGTTTCATTTGAATGACAGGAAAAATCGTCTTCACAATTATTATTATTATTATTACCAGTAGAACCATGCTTTTTTGCCGTTGTACTCAATAAAAATGCCACACTAAAATCTTTTTTAATTTTTAACATATTAACAACAATATTAAGCAACGTTTAATTTGGAGACAATCAAATACAAATGTAGAATTGTTCTGTTTCTTTTTTTCTTCTTCTATATATTCTATTGATCATACAAATGGTCTACAATTATCAGTTTCATTTCTCTTCAAGCCAATCAAAATTATTCGTATGTTTTATACGCAATTGGATACTATAATTCTTTTCGTTTCTTCTATAGAATATGTTATTATAGACCTCTTTTTTCTTCTGACCATCACAATTTTCTTCTACGACATATTTCATTAAGAAGAACATCCAACCATTTTAGTGGAAGTAAGCTGCTCCTGAAAAAATGTTTAGACCATCTGTAGTATTTTCATGTAGAAAAACAATAAGCAACTTATAATAAAACCAAAAATGGATACGTTCCTGGATGTCTTTAATGAACTATGACAAAAGCGTTAACTTATGTCCTTACCAAAGTTCATTGTTTTCATGATGAAAGGTAAAAGTATGATTCAAATTTCAATTGTTTCTTATTTTTCACATAAAAAATTTTGCAACAAAAATCTTTCTACTTTTTACTTATTGGTGATTTACAAAGTCTCCTTTTCATACATAATTAAAGGTTCGAAAATAATTTTAAAGTGGAATATAATATATTATATTATATTTTATTTCTGACCTTTTTTAGTCTATCTTTTAACACTCTTGATTTCCAAAATGAAAGCTGCTCGCTGGAAAGTTGCCTATTCGACAGATGCTTGCACTCGAAAGTTGCCCGCCTGCAGAAGTTGTCCACCTTTGAGAGTTACCTATCGACTTTGGTAATAACTGAAGAAAAGAAATGAAGTCATAGTTCAGACAAATTGCATGAGAAGAAAAGAAATGAAAGACGATAAAGAAGAAAATTAGACAAATTAATGTGTATTCCAAATTTCACTGAATAACGAAGCTTTTGCCAAAAGATAAATGATCTTACTCACCACAGAAAGGTGAGTAGGATACCTGAGTTTGACGAAAGATGATATAAATTTCTGAAGCGTTGAGACACTTTCTGTTTTGTGGATTTAACATCGAAATGTAACATTGATTTTTTTTTGTCCAAGAATAATTCTGCAAGTCTCTTAGTCGAGCATCTGACCATCAGATTCGACCATCATGAGATTGTGCCATAAAACTAAAACTGACCTGCTTCAGTTTCAGTTTTATGGCACAATGATTGAGAACAGTGATTTCGAATATAAGGGGGGATCTCCGTTAAAGTTGGAGAGATCGGGACGGCCCTGCCGGCAAGTGTCGGACGGGCAACTTTCGCATGTGGGCAATTGTCGGAGGGACATCTTTCATACGGGCGAGTTTCTGGCGGGCAACTTGCGCTTTACCCAGATTGTCGTGTCTAGTGAATAAAAACTCGATTTGACCTAAATAATTAAGAACCTATCGCATTTATGTATTGGATCTTTTCACAAACAATATATAATCTAAAAAGGAAAAATTTTTTTTCGTTTATCTATTGATTATTGCTGGCATATCGTGTATATATTATCCATATTGAATTAATTCCAGTTTTTAACTTTTGAGCTGACTATTTTAGTCGAAAAGTTTAAATATCAACTCGTGCGTATTTTTTATATGCGGTGACATAATTATATCTACTACTGCTCTAGTTTCAAGATTATTACACAAAAATAGTCTATATAATAATCTTGATTAAATCAATGAATTTTCTTTTTGTACTGATTTGTGTGCAAACCTTATTATAAAATTTACAAATACATTTATGATTGTCATTTAAATATCTAACAAAAAGTCAATACATTTGCGCTAGGAAAATTATCATCAATCAGAGTTTGATTCGTTACTTAATAGTTTTATTTTACTTTTTCTAAATACGTACGATTCGTTTTTTTCTTTTACCCCATATGTCTCTCTCTTCTCAATGTTTTCTCGATTATAACTCAGTTGACACATTAATAATGTCACCTATCACACGAGCCATTTCACATATTCATTTTATATATATACTCCTATTAAAGTGTATAAAAAATAACTTTGTTTATTAATACACGTTCACCTTTACACCCTAGAAGGATGCATGAAAAAATGTGTAAAAAAGGCTTAGAAATCATAAAATCATAAAAAAATATATGATATTCGCATTAATGAATAAAGCATGACACTGGATCATGGCTAATACGATGAATTTATATCTAACTTATATATTACAACCGTCTTGCATCCTCGTCTGTGGAGATTTTAGTATACTAAACAGCATCAGTATAGAAACTAATGGCATGTAAATGAAAAAATATTTAAAAATATTTTTTTACAGTGTGTAGAAAAAAATTATTCATACAGTAAAACCAAACTTTATTTTTTCAATTTACTCCCGATCTAATGCTCATTCATACTCTCTAAAAAAATAGGTTTCGTAATATAATCTATTTTTTTAGACAGTAGAGAGATGTGGGACCTCTATCTTTTCTCGTTCGATAACAGTAGGCATTTTGCTGGCACCTACCGAATCCCTCATTTTCAGTTCGGGAAGCCTTGAAAATAAGTGGGAACCATAGGTTATCGACTACTCTAAATCTCGTGGAGATCTCTACTTTAATATTAAAATCGGAAAAAACTCGAAAAGAACGTTTTCAAGAAAATATGGATTTATCGCTTTAGCTGTGGTAAATTAAAAATTAGCTGCAGTAATGCTCTGGTCAGAATGCGGCTATGTTGAATATATTCTTTTAGCCTGATGTACTTTAGTCAAGTATTACGGACGCTTTGAGTTTTTTAATTTACTACAGCTAAAGCGATAAAGCCATACTTTCTTGAAAACGTTTTTTTCGAGTTTTCTCCGATTTTAATATTAAAGTAGAGATCTCCACGAGATTTAGAGTAGTCGATAACCTATGGTTCCCACTTATTTTCAAGGCTCCCCGAACTGAAAATGAGGGATTCGGTAGGTGCCAGCAAAATGCCTACTGTTATCGAACGAGAAAAGATAGAGACCCCGCACTTGCGTAGGTTTTTAGAGCATATGTTGCTCTATCTAGGTGTAAATTTAGAACAAAGATTTTATTTATGATCCTTTCGATGGTATTGCCGGATATTTTGGGCGAGAAGGTATACCAGTTGGAACTAGTAGTTTTAGATGAAGTTTAGGTCGTTCGATAGCCCCATGAATTTACGCCAAAATGGTGAAAACCGCATCTTTCTAGCTCATTTCGTTCAAACGTTATTCAAAAAACATCCGAGTGCACTGTTTTTTGACGCCATTGGTAGTCGGTGTATTTTTTCACACTCATTGTTTTCATATAAGGTAAGTTGTGATTTAATTCCGTTTCAAAATATAAGACAGTTCGATGTTTTTGAATAACTTTTGATGCAAATAACCTATAGACCGGGTATTTCGGATTATGGAAGAGGATACCAGAGACATAATTCTATGCTAAATTGAGCAAAATCCAACAGACCTATCCTGGTACTTTTATAATTGAGATATGAAAGAGGGAAATTCCTCGTATGAATAATATTTTCATCTAAAAGTGGACAAAAGTATATACAATATTTCAAAAATTTCTGAAGATGATTAAATTAATATCTCGTATAGAACGTTTAACTTTGACCTGTGATATGATAAAGATTTAATCTCTTTATGATCTTTAGATCCAAAGAGAACTGACAAAGAAAAGTTTTTTTTTCATTGTATATCAGATTATATGAAATTAATCTAGTTAATAGCTATACAAAGACAAAAATTCAATATAGGTATCTTTAACATATGACGTCAAAAATCATTGATCAACTCGTTGTAGCGTGCGTAATAGTAGATGTGTTTACTATGTGTATTATTATACACCATCATATAACATAACGATTGACATAAGACTAATAGTTAAATGTCATAATTGCCTATTAGAAAAAAGTTTATCAATATAAAATACAAATATGCACGCATATATACGGTTAATGCATATCACGTCATTAAACTGGATACGCTTGTCAATCTGTTTATGTCGACTAATACCTAATTGGGTGTTCTCTAATATTATTATTGATCGAATAGGAAGATTATCCTACGCGCACGCACACGGTACATAAAAAGAGATGAATATTTATTTCATTTTTTTTTACATCATAATGTATATTTTTAATCATGAGCAGTGGATGAGATGACAACGAGTGGGCAACAAAATTAGTTCTGCATTATTTCAGATAGTTTAAAGAAAACATGCTTCAATCACGATATTCAAGAAAAGAAAAGTTTAATAGATGATTTCAGCTTTTTTCCGCATTACTACGTCATTCTTAGATCTCATTTATCAGGTGCTCTCATTTCACAATCTCAATCTTAATATCTCAAACGTAATATGATCAACAAAGTCTCGTTTAGCATACATAATACATAAAGAATTATAGAAAAAAATGTATTTTTTCCAGAATCACTTTAGCCGCCCCGGCCGTTGAACCACGCCTCACAAACAGATATATGTTTTGATTATTATTAGAGCTCAGAGCTGATGAACTACTGAACTTCATTAAAAATCTGTCAAATCAACAACAACAAGTCTTCAGTTCCTGGATTCTTCCGATTTTTATTGTATAAAACTCTTCATGATTTCCTTAATTTCTTCTAACACATACAACATATCTTATGACTATCAGCTCTCAAAACTGAACTAGTCAAAAAATCGATTTTTTCTATTTCATTTCTAATAAACAAATAATGCGATGTAATATTAATTTATAATTTCTATTATTGTAAGCATAGTAAGAGACAATAGCGCCGCTTGATTAACATTAGTATTCTTTATTATCTAAAAGAATTTTGTTGCTGAACTCAATTTTTCTTAGATAAATAAGAAAACTTTTTAACAGTAAGAATTATTTGTTGAAGTTTTTCCAGGCTAATCGGTCCCGTATTATGTACATCATCAATATCAGCCTTTGAATGTATGTTCATCTTCAGCACTATTAATCTAACTAAATTCATTAATTTTTGTAATTGACGTTGCATATATTTTTGTCTAAATAAAATAAATTTTAAAAATTATTTTAGCAACAATTTTTCTAATTTACTTTAGTTTTTGTTCATATAGAATAATAAATAATCCATTATTTTGATATAATTTATCGCTATTTTCTAGAGACTTTTTTGTTCCAAACGGTTTACTTATCCACTAAAATAATAAAAGAGTATTATCAACTACAATATAAAAGAGCAAAAATTTTCATATCTTCCCAACTGAGATACTTTTTTAACTAGGTATCTCAGAAAACTATAAGCAAAATCACATTTCCCAACTGAGATACATTTAATAAAGTATGAGTTTATAAATCCTGATTAATTTCCCAATTGAGCAAGAAAGTTCACGGTTGCGTACAACAAGAAAGAGGCGAAAATATGACGTTGATAAAAATATCCATCTAGCTTCAGCAAAACAGACATTAGTTGATGATGATATAGATTTACATCAATATCAGCGTCTTTCCCGTCATTTTGCATACAACTACTTGGGATCTCTTGTAGAAATTGTATCTCAGTTGGGAAACGTGGTTTTGCTTATAGTTGTCTTTTTCCCAACTGAGATGCCTAATTAAAAAAGTATCTCAGTTAGAAATTGAAAATATATTTTAGTTGGTACGTAGCCAAAATTTTGTATGACGAGGAAAAAGCAGACAATTGGCTCATACCTGTCTCCTTGTTCGTGACAATATGTTGTAGGACATTTGTTTATTAATATAAATAACATATTCATTTTTCACTAAACGGTTTAGCATCTTTTTCGGAAATTTCTTTTCTAGATATGTGTGTAATTGAACCTAGAAACATATTTAATTAAGTTATCATGTGTTAAGATGAACTAGGTTGTGTATTACCTGCATTGCTAAACGTTTTAATCTTGCATTTTGTTTGATTTCCATTAAATCTCCTATTGCCAGACCAACCTACAATTTTGAAATAAAAAAGTAAATATCGATTTTTATATATCTAAATAGAACTTACTAATAGATTCATCAGTAAAATTGGCATTAAAATAGTGAATAATACAAGAAAAATTAATGTGATGGTTGGAAAATGTTGATTATCATTGTTAGTTAACATTGGTTCAACATATTGACGATCATAGTCGAGTCCACCAAGCATCATTGTTATAGATTTAATAATGATTATTAACAAATGTTTTGATTTTGATGGATCAAGAATCTACATAATGAGTTGCAATTCATGTGAAATAAAATTGATCTGAAAGATATAGTGAGAAACTTACGGGAGAAAATTGTCTCAATACACAAAATGTCAATACAAAGCCAATAATTAAAATTGAAAATAAAACTAATACATGTAGCAATGTTTTCATTATTTCAAGAAACATTATTACATAAATACCATACATATCAAATCTAAAAGAGAAAAACATTCAATAGTCAATTCTTCAATTTTCCAAGTTTTGAATGAAAATAGTTGAGGAATTATATATGATGTTGAAAAACCAACTCAATTTTGAATTTGACTTAGGAGATAGTAATTATTCATCTTTTGAGTGTCATACCTTCCTATTAAAAATAATAATGTAAACCATGCGGAAAAAACGGAGCATGCTCCAGCTTCCCATTGGTAATGCATTGACTGATTAAACAAAAATGGTAAAACAAAAATCAACGTTGTCACATATGAAAACCATTTAATATAATTTTCTAGATCGATAAAATATTCTCTAGTCTTAAATAAACAGCAACGATCAATTAGTTATAGAACTCGAAAAAACCTAACAAAAAAGAAAATGTATAGTACTTCTCGAATTAATTGAATAATTTGAATAAGGATATTCAAGAAGCAAAAGAAGATAATATACCAAACACATAGAACTTGTTTTAAATTCTAAGTAATATAAAAGGTAAAAGTTAACCGGAAGAACAATCTTCAAGTTGTTTAGAAGCACAATTTTTAAACTGATTTCTTTTGAAAACTTACAACTGTTTCGTTAAACGATGTGAACAATGGATTTGGACAATAAGAAATATTTTTTGTATTTGTCAATGAAAATGGATCTAAATGATTGCACGAGTTGAATGTAATACTAAAATAGGATAGTGTAACGGTAAACAATAAATAAAAACATAATTGAATGACATGTAATGGAAAACCATAAGATAACCTTAAATAATATTTTATCAAGTATAAGTCTAATTTGAAAAGATCTATATCATTATAAATACCATTTGTAACGTAACAGCATTTCACATAATGGATGACTAAGATTGTCTGTTTGTCCAAATTTAACCATCATCTAGATACAAAATATATAACTGAGTTAATGATTTCTATGAGTGAAATTATACCCACATTTAATGGTAACATCGGGTATATATACTTCTTTCCTTCAATTTCTTGTTTGTCTGTCCAATTTAAAAAATGAAAATCATATATGAGCTGAAACATAAACCGATGTAGAACTATATTTCATGACGAAATCACAATATACATGATATTCTTTGTGGTTTCTGTCTTCATGACTGTGGAATACACAACGATCAAGAACATTCTGAAAATAATTTCATATAACGCTTTCACATTTCTTTTAAAAATAAGAAAAATACTTGAACGCATTCAGGAAGATTTTCGATAAGACCAAGTAACGGTGTACGATATATTGATGAAGATAAATTCAATGCTTCTTGCCATCTAAACAGTTAGAACCAATAAATTAAATTTATATATTCAAGTCAATTTTTCATGTACCTCTCATGTGCAATAATGGCTAAGCAGACCTCTCGTTGTTTTTTCTGGATAGCCATGTCAAAAAAAGTCTCGTTATTGTTATTTGTTACAAAGTCACAATTGTTAGACAATAATAATACAACGGTGTCAACATGACCGTTACAGGCAGCACAATGTAATAATGTCATTCCCAAATAATTTTTAATATTTTTCAAATGACTATGCGATTGTAAAATAAGTTTTACTGTATTCACATGACCATTTGCTGCAGCCTTAAAACAAAAAATAGAAACATGTTTAGCCTTCATTGAAATTTTTAGAATTCTTTTTTGTTTGATAATACATCTTACCTCGTGAAGTGGATTATTACCATCATAACTTCTCGAAAGCATTGCACCTTTATGCAATAACAATTGGACAACTCTGGTATGACCATTTTGGCAGCTTAAATGCAACGGCGTTAAACCCGTTTGTTCCTGTTCGTTGAGTATACGTTCGAAACCTGGTATATCAAGTAATTGTTTACAAGTATTATATCTTCCGTATCTAAAATATACTGTTATTATATTCATAAACTAATTTGGTTACTAGTCTATGTTACATACTGTGCTGCAAAATGAAGAGATGATTGACGTTTATGTGTTTTCTTGTAAATAATAGTATTTGATCCATATTTTATTAATATTCTTAACATTGTAACTTGACCATCTCGACTTGCATAGTGAATCGGATAGAAACCGTCGACATCTCGTTGATCAAATAGAGCATGATAGCCTCTTCTACTGAATAACTCATGTTCAATTGCTTCAAAATTGAGTCCTTGGATAATGATAAAGTGTAATAAATTTCGATCGCATACATCTCGAGCAATAATTGACGCATTTTTTGATAGTAAGAAACATACGGCCGTCAAGGAGTTTTCTAGTGCAGCTAACAGCAATGGAGTTCGTCGTTGATTGTCTCTTGCATTGATATTGGCATTCTGAAAATAAAATAAGTAGCCACATTATCAGAGAAAAGATATAGAGAAACTTTGATGTACCATTTCTAATAGATATGCCATGATATCAACATGATCAAACATGGCTGCTCTAAATAATGATTACTGCAAAAATTGAAGAGTTATGTTCTATTTGATTTGACTTTTTACCTATGTAAACAAGTCATGCCTTGTACATCGCTCATATGAATCACTTTTTCTTTTAATTCCGGTTGGCAATCCAACATTAATTTCAATAACTCTAGTGAACCTTGTGCACATGCCAAATGAGCTGGAGTTGAGAGATCGTCCTGCGAAATACCTTACGAATATTATTTTTTATAAATTTGGAATATCGTTTACCTGTTGATCATCTATTTTAGCATCATTTTCTAAACAAAGCTGAATTGCTTCTATGTTGCCACCTTTTTACAAGAAAGAAAATATTTCTGATTTAATCAACAATTAATTCTCGACAAATTGATACCTATGACAGCAGAGTGTAATGGACGACGATTTTCTAAATCACAGAAGTTCATTATTCCAGCAGAATCGTATCCGAGTGAGTGAGCTGAAAATAATATAACAATGATAATAAACGAGTCATTTTATTAAAGTATAAAATATACTTACCAATCTCGAAAAGATGTCTAAAAACTTTGTTTGAATTATTCGCAGCTGCTATATGAATCGGAAACAATCCGTATTGCGTTCTTTGACATAAAAGAGCTTTGTGATTCGTCTTCACAGAAAAAAAAACAATCTTTTTTAGAAAGCGAAAAGGTTACAATAGTTCATTGCTAATAACCAGAATTCTAGCCGCTTCTAAATTGTCATGTAATGCAGCATAATGCAATGGTGTTGCATCTCTATCTCCATCAATATTTACATCATCTGGACGTTTTGAAAGTAGAATCTGAAAAGAGATTGAAGAGTTTTGGCATTGCTCAGTATAAAGACTAGTGTTACCTTTATTTGTTAAGAGATTTTAAGTTTCAGAATGAATTTAAAAACGTTTGGGATGACGATGAATGATCATTCGCTGTCGTCACAAACGTTCTTAAAGTTTTACCTTTAGAGAAGCCAGTTGATTGTGTATAACGGCGAAATGTATGGGCGCTTCATTTTGTATCGTTTTCTTTGTACTATCAGCACCATTATCTAGTAGCCACTCTATTGCAAGTAGACTGCTGTGTATAACAGCATGATGAAGCGGCGTCCAGCTATTTTTATCTGGCAGATTTATATCTAGGACATGAATAACAATAACACTATAGTATTCGAAAGATGCACAGTTACCTCCTTTATATTGTGCAATAATTGTTAATATTGCCACTTTATTTCTTGCTGCCGCATTGTGTATAGCATAACACCCAGAGGCGTTACTGATCCTCAGTTTTCCAGGATCATCATGAACTAACCGATCAAACTCCTCTTCGTTACCCGTACCAGCAATCTAACATCACGAAAACAAAACGTACCTTTCATATTTTACAGCAGATATAAGAGAGCATAACATCAACGTACCCTGACGATGTAGTATGGACTATCCCGAAATAAACAGATGTCTTCATTGTGTGCATTTGTCACACTTGAGACACTTTGTGAAGTAAGAGTATCTGTCAACGTAAATTGAGATGTGTCATTTGATTTGGTCAGATCAACTGATGAGAAATCGAGTTTGTGAGCATTTTGTCCCGGTTCAGCAAAACTTGAAAAACGTCGGTGTAAATGGGTGAAAAACGATCGAATTTTATGTTCTTTTTCATGTTTTGAATTCAAGGGAGTTCTGAAAAAAGAGATTTTATTCCTTTCTTCGAAAACGCCACATATGCTCCTTCTGAAGCATATTTGAAGTACAAAAAACAAGAACATACGTTCTTGTTACGGAGCAGAATTTTGTAAACAATATACTATTGATACTGATAATATACGCATATACTGAGTGTCATCAGCAGAATTAGACTCGTTGTCCTTCGTAATAATTTTTCTTTCTTCAACAGAATAACGAAACATTGAGAAATCGATTACATTTTTCGTGTCAATCTTTTCTAGTCCTCGACAAAATCCAAATTAGATGTAAGTGCAGTAGCCCTGTGTTGTGTAATGAATACATAGATTGGACTGTACGTCCCATCAAGTAGCCTTTTTGTATTCAACTAACTTAGCAGAGAGATAAATCAACTATGAGCTCTTCTCTCAATTAGGATTCTCTTCTGTTTCTCCTAAACTCGAACGATTAAGTCGAATGAATGGCGCACAATGTATTTATTACACGGCATTTGGGCGCAACGATAGTTGAAGTTCAAAGGCGCGGGTGCTGGTGAGGGTGAGTATCGATGAAGATTAAACAAACAGCGATTACAGTTGGATATGAATGAGTAATATAGAAAAAGCTCTCACGCCGGACCAAGTTTGTATAAAGAAAATTTTATCGTTATGCATCATAGTTTAACAAATGCATTCTTACTGAATGCTTTTATCGTACATGCACTCAAATGCCGTTACGCCGAAGTGTCGTCGCGCCTAAATGTCTGGTAATCATGTCTAGGCTTCAATAACTAGTTCAGCAAATAGAAACTCGCGAAAAAAATATCTGTAATCCATCAGTAAAGTCTTTGCTTACTATTAGGAAACTGTAGCTTCACCGATTATAACGTTTCACAACGGTATCTTTCATTGGTTTAAAGTCTTTGTAGTTAAACACTACTGGTTTTTCCATTAATTTCACTCAGACGACTCTCTAATCTTTCAGAAAGGTAGTTGGCTTCTACTATCCATTTGATAGGAATCAAAAAGCAAAACGATGGTGTTAAGCTTTTCGTGAAGAAAGGCAAGATTCAAGGCAGTCTTAAAGGTGAACTTGAAATTCCAAAAACTTTACACAGGTCTGAATCGGAGTTGTAGTTTTTGAAAACATTCTTAGACTTTCAAGTAACCGAACTTGTCTATCTTTAATCATATAGATTTGGAAATCGTTTTCTAATCCAGCGTTATTTTTTCGATGTATGTTTGAACTACAATGTCCAATTACTTGCTAGCACCCGACATAACGTACAGCGTATAATATACACAACAAAAATAATAATAAGAGCCAGTTAATCGATAGCGGTCTCTAAATCAACACGACAACAGGAGTTGTCTTTGCTCTTTGTAAAGTCTAAACTCTGAATGCATATTAATGATTTGTACAAATGATTAATTTGCATACACTTTAGAACACTCACATGAGTGTCATATCACCGTGAAGAAAAAATAAAGTTCATTTAGAGTCCTGGAAAAGTGCTTTCTCGTATTCAGCATACTCGATAATCCAATAGATTTTCTAGTTTTGGCGAGGGGTATTATCAAAAGTTTAGAAAATTTTTTCGAATAAAATGGCGCAAAAAAATTTCCATGGGAAAATAATATTAGTTTCAAAATTTTTCTTAAACTTTTGACGGTACCCCTCGTCAAAAATAGAAAATCTATTGGGTCATTGAGTGAATACGAAAAAGCACTTTTCCACAACTCTAAATGAACTTTATTTTTCTGTCGATATGTCTAACTTTCTCTGACTGATATTTCACTCAGCCCATTTTCCAGTCTTTCTGCAGCACGCTGCATAGTGGATCTCTAGTTTTTACGCTGTGAGTACAAACATTCGATTAACGTTTATTTGACTATAAGAAAGAATGACCCACCTTACATCCATGGTAGTAGACAGCAGGGCTTTTTGATCGTTGTGTTGTTGCAAGTAATCAACTGTGAGATTAGATGTCATGGTCGGCGAAACTTTTATGTTCGCTTTCACTGTTGACTTTGACATGATAAAACTTGTGTTTTCGACTAAAATAATAACAAGAAGCCCTTCAGAAATACAAAGTTTCTTCACATTTTATACCGGAAAATGTAAAAAGATTAATATTATGAATATAAAGGAGAAGTGTAGATTACTTATATAATTAAAACTAGAATAATTTTCAATTAATATTTATAGCTTTAATTATGACAAATATTTTTCTCAAAAAAGAAAAGGTAAATATATTGAACGTTTTCCATTAAAGAAATCAGAAGTTTTATTTCTCTTCTTTCTGATTCCTCTATGACGCACTGCTCAACTATATACGGACTTCGTTAAAAACTAACGCTTTTTCTTTTTTTTTCTTTATTCTACTTGCATATTATTTATTCTCTAATATTTAACTTTGAATGATTTTACATATATCGGGCGGCCCAGAATAAATGATCCTCCTCGTATTTTGCTTATAATTTTTTTCTTTTCAATCCTTAGACCTGATTGGTTTTCCAAAATATGTACCATCAAATTCTCTACAAGGCTTGATCAAACTTATTTCTATAGAAAGTTAAGGAGAAAAATTAAACGAAAAATATTCAACATGATGAAACGGACCAACTTTCTAAGCCAAAAAAACGTTTTGTTCAACGACTTTCATTGAGCGGGATGATAAAAAGAAGGAAATATATTTTGTAAACTTTGAAAAGCTCTATCAACCAGTATTAGATGCACAAATGCAAAATTAATCTTTGAGACTTACATCAATTTTCTTCTCTTCGCAAAATCCAGCTATTTGAATGTGTACATTCGGAGCTCCTGGAAAATGCTGCATAACGAAGCCAAAATGGCACCTTTTTAGCTCGGCTGCTTTTTATTTTGATGAGAAATGACACCTGTGCCAGATTCAGCGGCGAAAGTTACCTTAAAGCTTTTTTCATAAATTCACCTGCCAAACAATAGCAGATGTTAGTCACTTTGAAGTGAATTTTGGAATGTTAGATTTTCACTGTTCACTCAGATTTGAAGGAATTGTGAACTGCATAAGGAGAAAGATCGCCTTTTAAAGTACTCAAAAATATCTTCACTTTTGTTTCATTATTTTTAGAGTTGCTTAAAATATTCTAAAATTTGTACAACAAAATAGCTTAGAAAGTTAGTTCGTTTCATCATGTTGAGTATTCTCCGTTTAATTTTTCTCCTTAACTTTCTATAGAAATAAGTTTGATCAAGCCTTGTAGAGAATTTGATGATACATATTTTGGAAAACCAATCAGATCTAAAGATTGAAAAGAAAAAAATTATAAGCAAAATACGAGGGGGATCATTTATTCTGGGCCACCTGATATATTTTTCTATTGTCAGGATGATGTTGCAAACCTATATTCCGTTATTGTGTATAGGTATTATGACAAAGTTTATTAGGGATTAATATTTATATATAATCAAATGAACACGAGTCATCCATATATAGAGAGAGATATTTTTTTTTATAAAAAATGGATTTAAATAGAACATAATAAGATATACTGGCTTATTCCTTTCTTTTCTCCCATTTCGGCGTTAATAGTAGCGCATATAATTTATTAATAGGATTAGGCAACAGTCGCAAAAACACATACAACTTGTAATAATCTAAAGTATTTTCGACCTTTAATTAATGTATTACTAAAAGAAAATTAGCAAAATAGAAAATTTTCAAACAACTATGCAAAATTCTAACAATGATTATAATAGTATCGTTATAGTTACTAGTCATTATATTATTATCCATCATGCTTTCAGTACAAAGCTTATTTGAAATATATAGTAATTATGCATCAATTGCATTAAATAATTAGTATACTGTCAAATATTGTTAAAAGTTGATGATAAGTTTCGAGACGTTTCTTAGTTGATGTTGTACTACCACAAAGATCGATTGTTTGTGATATGTTATATTTATGATCTAATGATAATGGAATATCATGCAAAATTTTTTTCTGGTCATGTTTCGTAATTGAGCCCAATAGGTAACGACATACTAGAATAAAAGTAAAAAATGAATACATATTGAATAACTTTCTCTGATTACTCTAAAATATCTAAAAATCTAATTGAAAAAAATCTTTCTTATCTTTATTCTTTCTCTACCTTGCTTTATATTGAAATCTTCCATAAAAGTGGTGCAGAATGTTGCGGCACTATATTCAGTACATGATTCACCGCATTCTGCTTGTTCAACTATACTGCTCTCTGTTTTCTCGTCGATTTCTTCTATATAAACAAATAAGTAAACAAATACTCATAGGTATATAGAGTAATTATATATTACATACGCATTTTTACTTTATGTTTTTCAACAACAACAATATATTCCAAGTCAATTACTTTCACTTTTTTTTCAGTTTCATTATAAACAAAATTCTCTAAATTTATATCCGGATAATAAATGATCAATTCTGGATGAGCATTGTTCAAGTCATACATTGTTTGTAAAAGTTCACGTACCAAATGGACCTATAAGCAGGTGAAATAGATTTCTTATTTCAACCGGACAATTCTGAATAAAATTAAAAAAATGTAGCATACGCGAAATGGAAATGGTGAATTGATGTAGCTAACCAAATTGTTTCCTTCAAAACTGACCATTGCCAATCGTCCACATGCTCCATAATATTTTGGAAATGGAAAATGATGACTACCAAATATCTACAGTTATAATATACCATAAAAATTCCTTTTTAACAAAGTGCGAAAGCGATACTCACTGCAAGGACAATCGGTTCTATGTTAATGTGTGATGTTGTTAATAAAGCCAACATATCTTCATCCGGGGCTAAGCCAGTTGATTGTAGAAACCTTTCTAAGAAAAATCGTTTAATATTTATTAGAGAAATAATCTATGAGGATAGAGTATATCTCTTTTTTTTCTGTTGTTTTGATCAGGTATATAAAATTTATAATAAAATCACTACAAAAAACCTTTCAAAAATCTTTTTACGTTTTATTATAAGCTATCTACTACAAAATGTTGGATTCTTCTAGGCTACTGTGAATCATTTCCCATATACATTTAAAAATTTTCTATTCGTTTATTCTCTAACAATCATTCGAAAATTACTTACGCATCTTTAAATGAATATAATAATTCTATACTTGGACATGGTAATATTGTAGCTAATGCATATTTAATTTGAAGATCATTCGGCATCGTTGATTCATAACCGAGATTTTCTACTGTACATTTATTTGGTAAACATTTAGATTTTTCATCAAATTCTTTCCATTCGTGCGTATGTGCCATCTTTTTAAAAACAACTGAATGAGATTGATATTTGCCATAATAAATATTTTTAATATTAAAATGTTTATTTGTAAACGACCATTTCTGCCAACCTACAAATAAATATAGTTCGATGAAAAATTCTATGTTTGTGAATGACTCATGGAGAAATTTTGTCTAAATTTCATGATCAACCAGCCGCAGTAATTGCAATTTTCACAAAATTTTATGAACAAACAGAGGACACATGATATGGCAACTGCATGATCTTGACGTCGTGAAATCTTTTTAGTCTGCTTATGTGTATTCAGATGAATAGTTTCTATATATAAAGGATCTTAGCTAGTGGCTAAAGAGCGGAGTAATCTGTCACTACTACTCTATCATCGTGCCTAGAACATACTGTCGATCTGTAGTCTACGCTGACTTTTTTCACAAGTTTTGTTCATTAAATTTAGTATTTTCTGAAAGTGAGAACCAAATTTAAGCATCTTGAAGTACAGATATTTTATACTATACTACTAGGCTGACTTGTGAAAATGTAGAATAATTTTGGATCCCGAAAGATGTGCACGACGAAACTTGCGCACGGAAAGATGGGCACGAGAAACTTGCGCACGGCGAATCTTGCGCACGGATAGGTTGCGCACGCAATAACAAATTCTTATTTTATATTTATATTTATTACAAAATCCTAAGACTTTTAATTGCCGTTATAGTTGATATACATGTAATTCTACTAGTGTTTATAAGTGAAATGAAAATATTGTATTATAGAATAATATTATATGCTATTGCGGTGATTTGGTCAATAATATTCTGATGGGGATTAGAAACAACCGTTTATCTAGATGTTGATACTTTTT